AAGGCCGAGCTGAGCGGCGAACTCGGTTCTATAAACGAGTTGGTAGCCCCGGAGTCAAATAATATGATGGCTGGGGTGGCGTGTACTAGGAAGGTTCCGGAGACTATGTTGCTATCTCCGATCCTGGCCTTGCTTAGGGTGAGGATCCTTCCCCGGGTAGTCGGCGCGATGGTTTGGTCAAGTGGGGCGGTTTTGGGGTTCTTAGGTTCCTTGGCGAGAATTGGACGACTTCCTTCGGGTTTCCTTTTATACCCTAGTTGCGTCCCTGGAGGCGGGTTCGCTACCTGTTGTAGCTGACATGCCTTGGCATAGGCCTCTCCGAGGGTCTTCAGTTCTTGGGTGGCCAAGGCCCTCTGGTGTTCGGGCTTAAGGCCCGTTAGGAATTTCCTGACTTTGATCCCTTCGGTGGGTACTAGCTCGGGGGCGAGGCGAGCCAGTCGGCAGAATCGTTGGTAGTATTCTGAGACCGGGGCCGTTCCCTGTCTTAGATTGAGAAATTCCTCGCTCATGGCGGCTTTCAGGTGGTTGGGGTAGAACTGTTCTCGTAACTGCGTCTTTAAGTCTTCCCAGTTGAACCCGGGGTCTTGTTCGTACATAGGCCCCTCGCGGGCCCACCAGCTGTCGGCCTCGCGCCTGAAGAAGAAGGAGGCTATACTGACCCGGTGGCGTTCGGGGCATTGGGTCGTCCTGAACACCTTGTCGAATGTCTCAATCCATTCCTCGAGGGTTGTGGGGTCTTCGTCTCTCGAGAGGGTGGGTGGTTGATGTGCCGAGACTTGGTGGTGGATTTCCAAGTTCTCGTCTGTCGGCAGAGGTCGGGGAACGATAGTACTCAGTGCCTGGGCAATTTGGGTCAGGCGTTGTAGGGTTTGAGTCAAGATTTCTTGAGAGGGGTGTCTCGGTGTTCCTGACTGTTTCTTCTTGGGTGCCATCCTGGTGATTAAAGGTTGATGTTATTTTGTGTTTCAACTTGATATAATAAGTGGGGAAGAGATTTCTAATATTAGAGAGGGATGAAGTGCGGGGTGACGTGTAGGTTTCACAATCTCACAGCGCATCCTACGATTCCTGGAGCCTATGTTCCTAGATACCTGGAGTTCAAGCCTAATGTCCTAAAGTCCGGTCTTAAGAGTCTTTTCCTAGGGTCAAACTTAGGCTCTGATACCAACTGTAACACCCCAGATTTTTAAGACATTTAAAAACTCACAAAATAAAGGTATTATCTCATTAAATCTCAAAACGTAATACAAGTGTACGGGGTGCTATGCCACACCTGAGCTAGAGAACCCAGGTGCACAGGCTAACTAACTAATATCCTCAATAATGTAAATGCATAACATGGCACGCAGGCCGGAGAAAGGGAACTATCTACTTCTACGTTCCGAGTTCTAGCGCGCTCCAGTGACTTATTCTTCTGTGCCTGAAAGCCAAATATATCTGTTCAACGAGAGATGCTGGTAACCCACTCCAACGCGTTGAAATACAATACATATAAAGATATATATAGATATACGAAAACCATTATGAGCATGAAGATATGTCCTACGAACTCTAGCTTTTAAAACCGGGAATGACTCGACAGATAAGGCCAGACACAAGTAACAGTTATAACGAGCATATGCAGTTCACAACAGATAAGGTAGATAAGGCAAAGCATAAACAATAATCATAACCCGACATGAACAATCCCCAATGTAATTCCCTTAGTCACAGCCCCCAAGACTCTCATAATCACAACTCATTCATATCACAACACATAACACACTTTGTTGGCGCCACAGGACCAATCGCATGCCCATACATGAGGGTCAGCGCATATAGCTCTGACACGGCCCCGCAGCACCATGCCCCGTATCGCAACACGGGGAGGTCGATCGCAACCGACCGATGAACCGCAGCTCATCATAATTTTTGATCGCAACCAAACAGTGGACCGCAGCCCAAGAGAGTGTCATCTGACCGCAGCCAGGATAAAGGACGAACCGCAGCTCGTATAGAAACGTTTGATCGCAACCAAACGGTGGACCGCAGCCCAAGAGAATGTCATCTGACCGCAGCCAGGAATACCAATCTGACCGCAGCCAGCTTCTGAACCGCAGCTCAGGATAACCAATCCGATCGCAACCGAATTGGGGTAACACACACACATAACACATAGCAAGCACATGCAACCCACATTACACATTGGGAAGGGGGATAAAGCGTATAACAAACCTATGCGTGATCCATCACATACTAAGAATAGTCCTAAGGGGTTCATACTTCTTTCACCTAGGTCAACGGGATACCCATTCAACTAGCATGCGATATAACGGACTCATAAACCTGCGAACGATACCCGAAACATCAAACTAGACATAGGCACGACAAACGGGGTCCGTTGGGACACCACGGGGAGCGGGGAAACATCAAACGGGGAAGCCGGGATCCCGAGGTGGGAGAAATTCCAGCGGGTAGCCGGTGGGTGGGGTCCACCCGCCGGCTGACACTGTTCCGGGCAGCGGGTGCCCGGCGGGCAGCTGCCCGCCCGCCGGCTGCCCGCTGCCGGAGCTGCCCGAATTGTCGCGGGTAGGTGGTGGGTCCCCTACCCCCCGCCTACCCCCCACTGACTCTTTTCATCACTTTTCGCCCCGGGAACCGTTGTGGAACCCGAAACCATGCTTAGACACTTTTCAACGTAATTAACGACAACACATAGACAATTAACGGATCAATTACGATAGACGAACAGCACATAACCTAACATGCTTTTCTAATCATAATCAACACCCAAACATGCGATTTCCCATCCGATAATCCAAGAATAAGATCATACGATACAACCTAGGGTTCTAATCACTTTTATATCCACAAGAATACGATTCGTCTTCTAATTGCAAGATTCGGTAGGAACAACACATATCATCAAGGATAGCAATTAATCATCAAGAACAACATAATCATCAAGAACAGCACATCATCATCAAGAATCCCAATTAATCATCAAGAACACCCCAATTATCAAGAAACTCCCAATATCAAGATTACCAAGATTCCCCATGGAATCATTAAATCAACATCAATAATAATCATAGTAATTCGCCATTCACAATCATACGGGGGAAACCCTAAGGGGAAATCATAGCTATGAAAATAGGTTTTGTTGAGACATGGGTTACCTCTTAGCCTTAATTAATTCCTTGGCTATGAAGAATCTTTTTTTAAGCTCTCTTGCTTTTTTTGATTTCTTCTAAGGGAATTCTTGGAGCTCTCCTGGGCTGGTGGGGCGTCTAGGCGTGTGGGGGTTCTAGGTGCTCCCTAAGTTCCCTATTTATAGATCTAAGGGTTTATTTAGAGCTTATTCCTATTGGGGTTAGGGGTTGGGTTTATATAATTGGGCCCATGGGCTATGGTGGCCTTTTTCCCTAATTAATCATCATAATTTATTCTTTCTCCTGGGTTATTAATTAATTAATTAATCAGCTGGTTTTAGGATTCGTAACACGGGGTGTTACAATGTACCCCTTGGTCGTTTTCCTTGAAGACTTCCTCGTCCGAATCAATTTCGGGTAGTTGTTGACTACTAGAACCCGGCCTATCGTGCCTATTCTTTTTGGCCATCTCCTTTCGCCTCTTACGTTGTCCTACAATTGGTTGCAAGAGATTCAATCTGATAATTAAACACTTAAAAAAACATACCACACTTAAACATGATCAAATTGCATTCAAATTCCCTTTATCAAATTCAAAGATGGATGACTCAAATAAAAATTTTGACATAGTTTCCCCTAATCTAGTCAATTTCCACACTTTAAACTTGAGACAAAGATGACTAATCATTCTTGCAGAATAAACACATTCATCATTACAAGCTCAATTCGAAAAGTCAATAAGTCAACTTCATCTTCTCCAACTAGTTTATGGAAGAATTCATTCACAAAAGGGTTCATGCAAAATCATGGTGGCATTCACTCAGATTATGCAAAATTGATCATCTCAAGCATGCAATTGCACTTTTTCACCATAATTTGATCATGCAAGACATATTACCATTCAAAATAAAAAATCCCCAAATTTACTCCTAGGGTTCATGCTTGCATTCATACATCAACAACAATGTCATTCAATCACGAATTAATCTCAAATATATGTCATAATCACAACAACTAAACAATCTTAGCAATTTCATAAGCATAATACTTCATAAAGAACAATCTACCATCTTCAACCTAGAGAGAGAAAGCTTGAGCTTCATTAATGGAGATTAAGGGTTGAGATGGTTACCTTGTTATTGGGAAGACATTGTTGAGCACTTGGATCTTTCAAGCTTGAATTGAAGAAGAAGATGGAGAAGGAACAATACCTTGTGTGGGAGAGAATAAAATTGCGTTGTGGAAGAGTAGAATGAGAGAATGGGAGGTTTTGAGGGTTTAAATCCCGGAACCTTGAATTTTGGAGCTTCAACGTCCGTCGTAACGCACGTTGCGTCATGCGTTGGCCGTTCAACTTACATCACAACGTGCGTTGTGAGTCACGTTGATGTTTCTGGAAATTTCTCCCTTTTCAGCTTTCCATCCACGCACGTTGTCTTGGCATTATAGAGTTCGTTGGCCGATCGTATTTCTTCACAACGAGCATTACAACGTGTGTTGTCATGCATGTTGGTTTTTCTGGAAATTTTGGCTTTTCTCCTCTGCTCAGCCACGTAATGCACGACGTTGCATTGTAAAGTCCCCTGTTTCATTGGACCTTCAGCTTGTGTCACAACGCGCGTTGTGACTTCCCACTTCTCTTCTTTTCGGTTCTTCTCTCCTTGTTCAATTCTTTCAACTTCACCATTTCCATACCCTGGAATGTTAGCTATTCCAAGTCCAGAATAACAAAGCAATTAAGGTCACAATCATCATTTGCACTTTATTCACATGAACTAAAAAGCAAAAACAACAAAACGAAAATGAAAACCTTGGGTTGCCTCCCAAGAAGCGCCACATTTAGCGTCATTGGCTAGGCGTGTTACCTTTTCATTCTCCTTCGAAGTTGTTGGTCTTTAGGCACTTAGGCACCCAAGACACCTTTCGGATCTCCCACCATGGCCTAACTTTCTTCTTGGCTCTTTTTGTGATCACCGAGCAAACATGTTCTTTTTTCTCTACTTGGTTCTCATCAACTTGTTCCCCATTGATTCTAAAGATGAGCTTGCCCGTCCCTACATCAATTAAGGCACAACAAGTAGCCAAGAACGGTCTTCCTAAAATCATTGGCACCTCTAAATACTTTCCTACATCTAGCACCATAAAATCAATTGGTACAAGATTTCTTCCAACTTTGATAAGAACATTTGCAACCAAACCTCGGGGATAATGCGTAGTCCCGTTGGGTAACCGAACAACAAGTGGTGTGGGAGCTATACAAGGCAAGTTGAGCTTTTCATAGATATGGGAAGGCATGATATTAACGGAGGCTCCCAAATCGGCTAAGGCATCTTTAAAAACACAGTCCCCTATAACACATTTCACGAAGAAAACACCGGGATCATCTTGCTTGCTTGACATCCTTTGTGAAGGATAGCCGATGCCTCCGCACCAAGCTGGATTTGAGGCAAAACCTCCTCATCATCACTATCAAAGTCTTCATTAATAAAGCATGCACAATGAAGAGTATTCAAGATAGAATCCCCCCTTCCTTCATATTCAAAACCTTGTAGATTGCCAAACCTTGTCTTACGAGGTGTTTGAGCCTTTCTTCTTGATGGTGGGATTTCCTTCTCAATTTCCTTAAGGGCACAATAGGTATCCTTTTCATCATCCTTACTCAAGATATCACAAGAGGTACGTAATCTCTTGCTTGTTGACCTTCACGGTGTCGGTTCCGTCTTCTTCGTAAACCTTTTCCATTGCATCTTTTCTTTCTCCTTCCTTTGGCCTTACAATGGACACGACATTCACTCTCTCCTTGGGGGTGTTCTCGGTATTACTTGGTAATGTTCCCCATGGTCTTTCGGACATTAGCCATAACAATTGACATTTGGGTTTCAATGTTCTTCAACGAAAGAGTGTAGTCTTGTTTTACCGAGGCTATCTCTTGTCTAATCTCTTGTGTGATTTCTTGCCTTAAGAATCCTTGATCCCTCTTCAAGTCATTAATGGCCTTGGATAACCTTTCTTTTACATCCTTTGCCTCACTCCTTTGCATCACCATCTCACCTTGGGAATTTCCCGGGGGTCGGTAGAGAGTACTAGATTGCCCTTGATTGTAGTTTGAGCCAAATGTAACTCTTCTCTCTGCTCTCGTGCCATAGGCATTCTTTCCTTGAGGTCGCCCTTAATATCCTTGATTTTGCCAACCACTACCTTGCTTCCAATTTGTGTTCTCACTTCCCCACCCATTTGGTTTTTGCGGTGGCGGATAGGTTGCCGCCTCTACTTCCTCAACTTGAATTGTAGATTTGCAAATGTTGGTGTCGTGAGGACCTCCACATACGTTGCAATACAATGCTAGGTCCATGCAAGGTTGGGATTTTTCCTCCAACTTCTCAACAACCGCTTGCTACTTCTTGATTTATTGGGTCATTGCTTCGAATTTCGCCGCATTTGCTACACTTTCTTTAACGTTGTACATCCCCGGCCTTGTGTCTCTTTTGTTATACCAAAAGGAAGTATTGGATGAGATTCTTTCTATCAACACCTCGGCATCCGCCGGTGAGGATGATACGAACGCTCCACTTGAGGATGAGTCTAGTAACATCTTTCCTTCATCCGCGGGACCTCCATAGAACGAACTACTCATGTCCCATGGGTATAGCAAGTCCAGTGGACATTGTCTTCTTAATGACTTAAACCTTCGCCAAGCCGCTCCTAGGCTCTCCAATGAGCATTGCTTGAATTCTTGTACTTGCTTGCAAATCTTCATGGTTTTCGTCAACGGGAAGAATTGATTCATGAACTCTTTGTGCAGTTGAGCCCATGACCTAAAGTGATCATCATCTTGCAAGTCCAACCATCTTAATGCCTCACCTGAAACAGAAAATGGAAATAGTTATAGTCTTACTATTTCATCGGATACTCCCCCTTATCGAAACATGCCACAAGCTCTTATAAATTGCGTGATATGGGTGTGGGGATCTTCCGAGATTGTCCCTCCAAATGGAATATTTTGTACTAGACTTAGGACCGCGGGATGGATTTGAAAATTAACATTCTCAAGTGGTGGGACACAAATCGAGTTGTGCATTTAGAACTCGGGCGTCATGTAGTCCGTAATTGATCTTCCCCTCCCCTCTTGAGGTGCTTCATAGTAGTCTTCATTCCTGACGTGTTCCAATGGGTCTTGCCCCGCATTTTCTTCTTGCCCTAGAGGTGGTAGATTTACATGAATCGGTATTCCTCCTTGTGCATTTCCCTCTTGATGGTTTGGTGGTGGTGTGTGTATAGTAGATTCTCTTCCTTGCACTGTTCCTTGAGTTTGATTACGACCACTTGAAGAAGCCATATCATTCAATGGAATTGGTTCTCGTGTTGTCCTCCTTCGGATTGCCTTATTGATTTCGGTTCAAAGGCCAAAAGTCCTATGTTCCCTTTTGATCTCGTTTGCATTCAATCCTAGAAAAACAAGTCAACAAGATCTCTCCTCACAACTAAAAGTAGTTGATGAGGGTTAAAACAAGCAACAATAAAATTAAAGACAATTATAAGAAAAGCAACAAGCATTCAAACAATAAACGAAGTCAAATTCCTAATTAGTAACAAATGGCTAAAACCTAATGCCATCCCCGGTAATGGCGCCATTTTGATGAGCTTATTTTTCTCTCTTGCGTTAAATAGATTGTGTTGGGATGAATCCAAGATTATGTCGTTCTCAAGGGATGGCCGCTCGGAGTTACCCCTAAGTTGCTAATTTTGGAAAGTAACAACATCGCTATTGTTTTTCAACATGTCATGCGCACACAATAGAATAACATCGTAGTAAACTAATGAAATGAATGCTAACAAGTAGTAATCAAATGAAAGATAAGTAGGGTTGAATTGCTTAGTGTGGATGAAGTTGCTTATGGGATCATTTGACATAGGGAGAGAAGATGCCATTGCTAAGTCTAGGGAGTAGCTTACGTCCTTTCGTAACTTAGACTACTAGGACTTTGTTTAGGGTTCACCTAAACCTTTCCTCGAATACCTTGCCTTCAACCCCTTCCCAACCAAGCCCCGTAGGTTTCCTTGAGCTAGGAAATGCTATGGATGGGAGCTTGGATTGACCTAGCATAGGTCAATCCCTCAAACACCATAGGAGGTGATCAAGTTCCTTGGATGCAAACAAATCAATCCCCAACAACAAGACATAAAAGCAATGCAAGCAATCAATCCCTAATTGAAGAACTAAGTCATGAAAGCATCATCAACACATACTTCCACAATTCAAACCCTAGCTAAAACTAGCCTACAATAGCCATGGAAATCATAAAAGCATTCATAGATCTAAACCTAGCGAAGCAAATAGAAATGGAAAGAGTAGAAATAATACCCAAAGTAGATTAGGAAATGAAACAATTCTTGCAAGAACTCTGGAAATGGAGTTTGTCAAGCTCTTCCTTTAATCAATCTCTCAAGAAAACTAAGCTTGAATCTACTCAAAATCTCTTCTACAAAGTGTTTTCTCTCGATTTCTAAATGCTAAGCAATCAAATTCTCTCTCTAAAAATGTGTCCTCTTACAAATCTGACCTAAAACAACTTAAATAAAATCCCCTTTCAATTCCTTTCGCAGCTCTTCCACGCATCCTCCAACGCCCGGACAACGTGCGTTATTCAGGAACTTACTCCGTCCAACATGCGTCACAACGCACGTTGTGCTGTGCGTGGAACTTTCTGGAAATCAGCCCTATTTTTGCCTCTCCACAACGCACACTGCAACGGGCGTTGTGTCGTTGCTTGGTCTCGGCTTGTCTTCTTATCTCGCTTTCATTTTGGTTGTGTCACTTTTCCTCGTTTAAGCCCGAAACTTTACCTATAAACATGTAAAACATAAAGTGCGGTGGTAATTTCTAATACAATGCAAAACATAGCTAATTGGCACAATATTTCTACACAAAGGATTGCTTTTAGCCTAGAATTCACCCTAAATGGAACTTAAAAGTGTGTGTCTTTGACACTTATCACAAAGTTATCACAATTACTCAAGATTTTGTGAAAATGTTTACATACGCAAAAAGTAGTATTTGAGTGATAATAATAATGGTCACAATTGTAACACCCCAGATTTTCAAGACATTTAAAACTTTTAATAAAGGTAGAATCTTATTAAATCCCAAGATATAAATACAAGCGTTCGGGGTGCTATGCCACACCTGGGCTAGAGAACCCAAGTGCACAGGCTAACTAACTAATATCCTCAAAGCGTAAATACGTAAACGTGGCACGCAGGCCAAAAGGGAAACTATCTACTTCTAAGTTCTAGCGCACTCCAGTGACTTAATCTTCTGTGCCTGAAAGCCAAATATATCTGTTCAGCGAGAGATGCTGGTAACCCACTCCAACGCGTTGAAATACAATACATATAGAGATATATATAGATATACGAAAACCATTTTGAGCATGAAGATATACCCTACGAACACTAGCTTTAAAACCGTGAATGACTCGACAGATAAGGCCAGACACAAGCACAGTTATAACGAGCATATGCAGTTCACAACAGATAAGGCAGATAAGGCAAAGCATAAACAGTGATCATAACCCAACATGAACAATCCCCAATATAAATCCCATAGTCACATCCCCCAAGACACTCGTAATCACAACTCGTCCAGGTCACAACACATAACACACTTTGTTGGCGCCACAGGACCAATCGCATGCCCATACATGAGGGTCAGCGCATATAGCTCTGACACGGCCCCGCAGCACCCTGCCCCGTATCGCATCACGGAGAGGTCGATCGCAACCGACCGATGAACCGCAGCTCATCATAGTATTCGATCGCAACCAAACAGTGGACCGCAGCCCAAGAGAATGTCATCTGACCGCAGCCAGGAAAAAGGACGAACCGCAGCTCGTATAGAAACGTTTGATCGCAACCAAACGGTGGACCGGAGCCCAAGAGTATCAATCTGACCGCAGCCAGCTTCTGAACCGCAGCTCAGGATAACTAATCCGATCGCAACCGAATTGGGGTAACACACACATAACACATAGCAAGCACATGCAACCCACATTACACATTAGGAAGGGGGAGAAAACGTATAACAAAACCTATGTGTGATCCATCACTTACTAAGAATAGTCCTAAGGGGTTCATACTTCTTCCACCTAGGTCAACGGGATACCAATTCAACTAGCATGCAATATAATAGACTCATAAACCTACGAACGGTACCCGAAACATCAAACTAGACATAGGCACGATAAACGGAGTCCGTTGGGACACCACGGGGAACGGGGAACATCAAACGGGGAAGCCGGGATCCCGGGTGGGATGAATTTCCAGCGGGTAGCCGGTGGGTGGGGGCCACCCGCCGGCTGCCCGCCGGAGAATACTGTTCCGGGCAGCGGGTCGCCGGCGGG